GTGCATCCTGGACTTGAACCAGGCTGCCTGGTCCATTCTGAGCTCCGCCTGTTACTTACTGTTTGGTTTGGGGAAAGTCAGCTTTGCCTGTAAAGTAGGGAAACAACTTCCAACCCACAAGGTTGTTTTGTGGACCCCAAACTGTAAAGACTAGAAAAGTGTAAATTACTCACCGATAAAGCATTGTTCTGCTTTTTATTTTTATTCTCATAGCACTTATGTCTTTTTTTGTTTTAAGCTTTGGGGATTTTTTAAAATATCTTCATTTGTTCTACTTAGTTGTACATGACAGCAGAATGCATTTCAATTCATTGTACACAAATAGAGCACAACATTTCAATTCTCTGGTTGTACACGGTAGAGAGACTCATCATTCACACAATCATACTTATACCTAGGGTAACGATGTCCATCTCATTCCACCATCTTTCCTATCCCCATAGCCCCTCCAAGCTTCCCCTTTTCCCAGTCCAAAGTTCATCCATTCTTCCCATGCCCCCCACCATCAGAGATCAGCACCCACTAATCAGAGAAAACATTTGGCCTTTAGTTTTTGGGGATTGGCTTACTTTGTTTAGCACAATATTCTCCAACTCCATCCATTTACCTGCAAATGCCATAATTTTATTCTCTTTTAATGCTGAATAATATTCCATTGTGTATATATACCACAGTTTCTTTATCCATTCATCTGTTTATGGGCATCTTGATTGGTTCCACAGTTTAGCTATTGTGAATTCAGCTGCTATAAACATTGTGTCACTCTAGTACGCTAATTTTAAGTCCTTTGGATATAGACGGGATAGCTGGGTCAAATGGTGGTTCTATTCCAAGTTTTGTGAAGAATCTCCACACTGCTTTCCAAAGTGATTGCACCAATTTGCAGTCCTACCAGCAATGTATGAGTGTACCTTTTTCTCCACATCCTCTCCAACACCTATTATTGCTTCTATTCTTGACCGGGGTGAGATGAAATCTTAGTGTAGTTTTGATTTGCATTTCTCTAAATACTAAAGATGTTGAACACTTTTTTATACATTTGTTGATCACTTGTATTTCCTCTTCTGAGAAGTGTCTGTTTAGTTCCTTAGCCCATTTATTGATTGGGTTGTTTGTTTTTTTGGTATTAAGTTTTTTGAGTTCTTTATATATCCTGAGATTAGTGCTCTGATATATGTGTGTATACCTTTATTTCATTTTTAAATTTTTATGTGGTGCTGAGGATTGAACCCGCGCCTCACATATGCTAGGCAAGTGCCCTACTGCTGAGCCACAACCCCAGCCCCCCCAGCCCTTATACCTTTACCTATAATTTTCTCTCTCTCTCTTTGGTATCGTCAGTTGAACGTCAAACACAGAACCACATCCCCAGTCCTTTTTCGTATTTTATTTGGCAACAGGGTCTCAATGAGCTGCTTAGGGCCTCACTAAGTTGCTGAGGCTGGCTTTGAACTCACAATCCTCCTGCCTCAGCCTCCTGAGGTGCTGGGAATGACAGGTGTGCCACCATGCATAGCTCACTTTGGTTAGTGACTATCTTTTCTCCCTTGAAATGCCAGCTCCATATGTGTAGAGATGGTTTTTAAGGTTGTTGTTGTTTTGCGGAGCTGGGGATGAAATCCAGGGCTCCACAAACACTAGGCAGGTATTCTATCACTGGACTATATCCTCCGTCCAACTTTTTTTTTTTTTTTAAAGGGGGGGGGGGAGAGAGAGAGAGAGAGAGAATTTTATTTATTTCTTTTGGTGGACACACATCTTTGTTTGTATGTGGTGCTGAGGATGGAACCCAGGCCGCACACGTGCAAGGCGAGTGCACTGCCGCCTGAGCCACATCCCCAGCCCCCAACTTTTTTTAATGAGATTTTGCTGTGTTCCCAGGCTGACCTTGAACTCATGATCCTCCTGCCTCAGCCTCCAAAATAGGTGGGATTGCAGATGTGCATCATTGAACCTGGCCTTAGCCCCCTACCTTTTTACTCTTCTTTTCTTTCTTTCTTTCTTTTTTTTTTTTTTCTTTTTGCAGTAGTAGGTATGGAACCCAGGGCCTCTCACATATTAGACAAGAACTCTACCACAGTGCCACGTCCCCAGCCACTATATTCTAATTTTACTCATTAAATGCTCCAGCTTCCAGATTTCTGGGATTCATTACCCAGTTTAGAGTCCCATGCTGTCCCCCACCCTCCCCGCCCCCGCCCCCCAGTGTTGGGTTTAAAACCAAGGCCCTGCTCTGGCTGGGCAAACACTCTACCATTGAGCTACAACCCCAACCCACTGTGCTGCTCTTTAACCACTGTACTTTTTGGCTTTGCTTCTCTCTCTGTCTCCTCTACCAGTGGGAGGCTTCCTTGAGAGCAAGAAGACCATTTTATGCCGTGGCATGGTGTGCACCCCCCAGAGCTCAATCTCCATGTGGTTGGTAGCCACTGTGCCCATATTACAGATGAGGAAGCTGAGATCCAGAGAATTCAGTTGCAGATCTAGTGTCACACATCAACTGAAAGACAGGATTGGAACCTGGTTACCACCCTGTCACAATCCCCCAACCCCAGCCCCAGGAGGCCCAGATTCTCTAGACCTGGCCTCCCCTACTCTCTCTTGCTTCCTTTGGTAGTAGTGATCCATGCCCTGGCACAAGGAGAATAGACTCGTGGCATTTGGGATGCAGAGTTAGAATAGAATATTCAAGATAAAGAGCCCCCTCTACAACCTCCACTCCTGCTCCCTCTTTGGGGCCCCTCTAAAGCTCAGATTTAGGATAGGTGCCACTTTGGTGGTGGTGGTGGTAGTTGAAATCCTTTGGAAAGAGTTCAGAGTGAAATTCAAGGTGAAAATCCTATTCCTTTCTCCTGCACCTTTTCCCCAAAGATGAGAAAGTCAGGGATAGGAAGGGTTAAGTGTGGTTTTGCTTCCTCAGCCAGGAGGGGAAGCCAGGCCAGGCGGGGAGGGGAGCTCAGTGCCAGGGTGGGGGCTGAGACAGTGGGAACAGCGCGAACCCCCGTCCCTCACGTTTCACTGGTTTGCCCTCAGCCCTCCCACCTCTTCTTCTGGTTGGGGGAAGAGAAAGGGGAGAAACAGAACAAGCCTTTTTGTTTTGCTTGGGAAGCTGAGGGTAGGTGCCACACCCTGGGAGAGAGAGCTCCTGGGAGAGGGAGCCACATCTTGGGTCCCCTGGTTCTGGGCTCTCACCACACTGCCCAGACACCCCCACCTAAGCATCACCTCTCAAGGTCCCCTCCTGAATACTTAAGTCATTGCCTTAATCCCTCAGCAATCCCTGGTCCATTTGGAGGCCTGGTCCAGAACCCAGAACTGGGGACCTGTCCAGCCCTACTTTGCTTGTGTACTGAAAAGCTCTGATACCTTGAGCTGTGGGGGTTAGCAACATAATCTAATCCCCCAGGTTCCTCCCCAGAAAACAAGCTGGGTGAGCACTGGGGTGGGACTAGAGATGGATAGGCCCTGGATCTTCGGTGCTGTCACCTCTTAGAGAGGATGCCTTGGTTGATGTGGCCAGGACCAGAATTAGAGGAGGAGAGATCAAAGGGGTCTTTGGTGAGAGCTGAGGATGGAGGCTCCAGAGCCTGGGACAGGGAACCTGGAGGTCTGAGTGGTACTGGTTTGTGAGAGGGCCTGGCATGACTCTTCTCCAGAGCTGGTTGACCTGGCCAGAGAGGAATGTGGAGATCAGTGTGGTGGTGGCCTTTGTAGCCAACAGGGCCTGTTGGTGTTTGCTGTTCCTGACCCTAACTACTCTTTTTCTAGCTGGAGCTAAGATGGAGACCCAGTATCGACTGTCCAACCTCCAGTCCTGCTCCCCCTTTCGGGCCCCGCTGGGAACCACAAAAATCTGGGACCTGGTGTCCTGGCAACGTGATGAATGCACACACAGCTCTGGTATCTGTTTTAAATTATCCATTAAAATAAGTACAGTCCTGGAAAAAAATAAGTACAGTGCTGGAGTTGGCTGGGTGGGGTCAGCAGCAGAAAGGGCCTGATGAGGGAGGCACCTACTAAGCCTCTTTTTCCAACTGCCTGGGTTCAAAGGAATTGGGCAGGAGGTGGAAGGGGACAGCTCCTGGGTCCTATTATTTGATTAATTTATTTATTTTTGGTACCAGGGGCTCTTAACCACTAAGTCACACCCCCATCCCTTCTTATGTTTTTGAGACAGTGTTTCACTTAAGCTTCTTAGGGCCCTGCTAAGTTGCTGAGGCTGACTTTGAACTCAAAACCCTCCTGCCTCAGCCTCCAGCCATGAGGCCCTGAGTCAGCTCTGGGTCCTATTCTTGGTTTTCTCTGGGAGCTGGAGACGCTGAGGTTTTTTGCTTGGGTCTTAGACCCAGTGTTTAAGGCAGATAAATAGGGACAGACCATATGAAAAATGGGGGGCCTTAGACCTCTGTCCCAAAACTGAGGGCATAAAGCAACTGAGAGGTTCCAGAACTTCGCTGCACCCCAAGGAACCCAGGCATTTCCCTGCCCCCCACCAACCCATCTCTGGCATACTGAGATGCATCTTTGAATGGGCAGCCCACATGTGGAAGGGGGGGGTGGAGGTGACTCACTATTACTACTGGGAGACAAGGGGGAGCCAGTGGTGGAAGAGTGAGTGAGTCACTTCGACGGGCACCAGCTTCAGCCCTACCCCCACTTTCTCCTCCCTCTCTCTGCCTGGCCCCCTCCCTTGCTTTGCACCCACTTCCTCTCCTCGACACCGCTGCCCTTTGCCCACCCACTCTCGTCCCTTGGCTCTGCCCTCTACCCCTGAAGGCCTGAGGCAGTGGGGGGCAAGCTTAGAAGTGAGATCGCTGAGCAGGCAGTAACCAAGACTGCGAGCCCCAGGCAGACCGGGCGCTCTGGAGAGGGCGGAGCCCGACTCTGCCACAGCCGGGCGATTCGTGCCCCTCCTCACCATTCCCGCCCCCGCCTCTGTGGGTAGGTAGATTGCCCTTTAAGAGCGGTAGACCCGCCCCCTGTGGGGAGGACCTATTAGAGCCCCGGCCCGGGCGCCGGTGACTCAGTGTTCGCGGGAGCGCCGCATCTGCACCAGCCAACCCAGACCCGCAGGTCCGACAGCGCCCGGCCCAGATCTCACGCCTGCCAGGAGCCAGCGGAGAGCCAGCCACCCGGCGCGCTCCGCCCCTGAGCAGTCTGTGTCCTTCGTCCGAACCCCTAGCCCTTCCCGGGACCCCTGCCCTGAGGGCAGCGCTGCCACCCTGCCGGCCATGGAGACCCCGTCCCAGCGGCGCGCCACCCGCAGTGGGGCGCAGGCCAGTTCTACTCCGCTGTCGCCCACTCGTATCACCCGGCTGCAGGAGAAGGAGGACCTGCAGGAGCTCAATGACCGGCTGGCCGTCTACATCGACCGTGTGCGCTCTCTGGAGACGGAGAACGCCGGGCTGCGCCTTCGCATCACCGAGTCTGAAGAGGTGGTCAGCCGCGAGGTGTCCGGCATCAAGGCCGCCTATGAGGCCGAGCTGGGGGATGCCCGCAAGACCCTCGACTCGGTGGCCAAGGAGCGCGCCCGCCTACAGCTGGAGCTGAGCAAAGTGCGCGAGGAGTTTAAGGAGCTCAAAGCGCGGTGAGTGAAGCCAGGTGGCGGCGTGCCGGGCGCAGAGTGCAGAGGGCGGACGGACCGGCACCCTTGGCCGAGACCAGGAAGGGAGCCGGAGGGCGCTGGGCAGCTGACAACTTTGCTATATAGTCTCCTCCCTCCCCGGAACTGCCCAGCGGGCGACTGGCAATGCCAAGAGGAATTGTCAGACCGGGACAGAAAGGAAAGGGGTCTCTGGGAGAGGGTAGGAATGTAAGGAATAATGGGGGCACTGGGGCTAAGCAGGGGCCCGCGACAGGGCCGCATTCTGTTAGGGTAGGATTTGACATCCATTTGGAGCCTGAGGGAGGGGCTTAACCAGCACAGAACTGGCCTTGCCAGGTATCGGAATTCTGGGCACTTAGACCAGGTTGGAATAGGTAGGTCCTGTTAGAAGTTTCTTGGTAGTCCTGGCACTGTGCCAGTTTCACCCAGGCTTACTCTGAACACATGATTTCCACTGAGAAAGGTCCCAAGCTGGAATTTGTCCAGCGGTAATGGACCCCTTCCCCAAGCAGCACAGTGGAGGCCATTTGGCATGACCTTTTCCTGGGTTCTTTTTAGCACTGGGAAGCTCTCCTGCACTCCTAGCATGTCTGGGACCTTTCTTGGACTCTGAGGCCTACCAGAACAGCTCCAGGAGATGGGCTCCCCCGCAGCTCCCACAGCCTTTGGCCTGTCTGGCCCAGGAATGCAAAGGAGGGAGGGAGGCCAAGGGCAGAGGCTCCTGGCACAGGAAGTTGTATTATGCCCAGGTCTGGGATAACCCTCCTCTTGGCCCTGTGCCTGGCTTCTCCGAGGGTTAGGGGCTCTGTCTTTCCCTCCCTCTTCAGGGTGAACCACTTTTATTTCCCAGTCAAGTCGGAACAGTCTGCTCTGGCCCATCCTATCAGCTGCTGACGTTTTGATCTTTGCTTTATTAAACGGCTGGAATACAGTGACACTTTTGAAATCCAGCCGTTGGGATCTTCAGGCCACTCCCACTTCACCCATCCCAGCCCCACCCTACCACACCCAACTTGACTCCACCTTCTTTTCTAAAAGGGCCTTGGGGGAGCCTAGATGCTTAGGCCCTGTTCTTCCAGCCCCCAATAATTTGGGTCTCCTGGGTCCTATATGAAGATCCAGACCAAAGAGCATTGAAGGTGCTTGGACATCCCTGGGGGGCTGATGGATGGCTTTGAGTTCCACTCTTTCTCTCCTTTTGCATGATCTTCTCCAAACTCATGCCCTTCCCAGAACCCCTCTAGGTGGTGCCATGCAGATCCATCAGTCTCCTGAGGGATGGATAAAAATTGCGTGGGAAGATGGGTTTAACCTTTATTTCTGTCCAAAGGGGATATAACCTGTCTTTTCCATTAGTAACATGAACAACTTAGAACGACACATAAGGAACCCCACTGAGTTAGTGTTCTCCTCTAGTCCACTCAACTACCAACCCCTGCCTCCCGCTTTCAGATTCCTACGAAGGACATTCTTAGCAGATCTGGGGAAAACACTGATTGGGGAACAGGACTATTGGAGTCTACAGCCTCTTGTGCTCAGATAGCCACGACAGTCTGACTCCAGTCTCATGGTGCAGCTGTCCAGGCCTGGGACACCAGGCGGGTGTGTGCCCACGTGGGGTGGGGTGGGGGTGGTGTGTGTACTTGTTATATTTAGCCACCTGACTCTTTTCTCCCCCACTGATCCTAACTAGGGAGGTTGGGCTTCCGGAAATGGGAGGTGGGTTTGCACACCTGGATCTCTGGGGTGTGGGAGGTGGGGTAGAGGAAAAAGGGGACTCAGACTGGGGGTGTCTGTCCACTTATATATCTTTAGTAGGAAGAGCCAGGATTCCTATTCTTTTTTTTTTTTTTTTTTTAATCTTCTGTGCTCAGATTGATGTGGAGAAATGGCCAGAATGAAGACTTGAGGGCAGGGGTTGTCCCAACTCCTCCCACCAAAGCCTAGAAAGAAGATGTCTGGTTTAATATTTAATTAGAGCTTAGAGGTCAGGGCCAGATTTGGAATTGGAATGCTGAGCGGTTTGTAAGACCCTGTGGTGATCCTTGGCCCAGCCTCAGCACTTCAACCTCAGCACCTCAAGTACCCCCACAGGTTTGGAACCCCTTCTTGCTGCGCTGGGTTATAGGTACCAAGAAAAAAATATTTTCCCAAACACACACACACACACACACACACACTCTCACTCACTTTCTATTCTGGAACCCATGGTATTTGGACACCTCAGTTTGCAGAAAATGGAAAGACTGAAAGCCCCAGCAAAAGCCCACCTGGGGTCCAGGCTCAGAACTGGGCCCCACCCCAGGCCAGACAGCTGGGTGGATGACTCAGATGCTGTCCCCCTCTCCCCCTCCCTCCCACCCTGGTGACTTTACAGGAGACAGGGTGGAGACAGCAGATGTCTTAAAGGGAGGGATGGGGGCCTGAATGTCTGCATCAGTACCCCTCTGCATCCTGGTGTCCCTTTCCTGCCTCTTTCCTTAGACTCTGGTGGTGTCTGGATCCAGAACTCTGGACAGTCACTATGGACAAGCAATTAGCATGCAGAGCTGATTCTGGAGTTGTTGCCTTGGGCTGCCGACAGTGCAGGGTCTTTGACTTCTCATGAGGAACTGTTGGAGGAAGACTGAGTCAGAAATGGGGAGATCCCAGGCCCACAAAGCAGAAGCACCTCTTCCCCTCCTGAGGCCCTCGTGCTCTACAATTTCCTGGATTGCCTGCCTCTTGCGGCCCCAATGCGGACGGGCAGGGAGATGGAGGTTGAGGTACTTATGGGTTCTAATCAAGATAAGCACTGCAAAGGCCATAGAGGTGCCCATATTCCCAGAAAGGGATGATAGGTCAGGGTTTAACACAGGCTTTCTGACTTCTAGTTGAATACTCTTCCCATTAAACCTCGCTTCTCTAACTTGGGGGACAGGTTGGAGATCTGGGGAATAAGGTAAGGAATGGTGATTGAGACTCCTGCAGCATGGAGAGTCTGCCCTGAGGCCAGTGATCCCTTAATGTCCTCAGTCCTGTCAGGGCATGTGAACACTTTGTCAGTAGCCTTTGTCTCAGTCTGTACCTGGAAGGACCCAGGACCCTGCCAGGCCATAGATCATGAGTCAGTCAGAGCTCTAGGAGCCTGATGATTTCTGTTTTGAGCCTGTCTAAGGACTTGTCATGGGAATTGTCTACCTGGATGGGAAGGGCACAGCCATTAGGTTAATGGGGATGGGGGTCTTTGAGCATGAATTGCCCTTACCCTTATGTAATTGTGCCTCCTGATGTTACCTCTCCCAGCTACCCTCAGCCTTGCCCACATTCTGATTGAAAGGGCAAGAAGGTACAGTTCAAGGGCTAAAAAGTACTTAAAGGGCCCAAGGGAAATAGGAAAATCTTTTTTCTTTTGTATGGGGAATTGAACTCAGAGACATTTAACCACTGAGCCACATCCCCAGCCCTTTATTGAATTTTATTTAGAGACAGGGTCTCACTGAGTTGCTTAGAGCCTCAATAAGTTGCTGAGGCTGGCTTTGAACTCTCAATCCTCCTGCCTCAGCCTCCTGAGCCACTGGGATTACAGGTGTGTGCCACTGCACCCGGCTGAGAATCATTGCTCTTTTTTTTTTTTTTTTTGGTACTGGGGATTGAACTCACTCAACCACTGAGCCACATCCTCAGCCCTATTTTATATTTTATTTAGAGACAGTTGCTTAGCACCTCACGTTTGCTGAGGGTGGCTATGAACCCGCAAGCCTCCTGTCTCAGCCTCCTAAATCACTGGGGTTACAGGCGTGCGTTACCACGCCCGCCAGCTGAGAATCATTTCTTAATAGGGCCTCCTAACGCCTGCCTCTCTGGGAGTTTGAGACTACATGGGATGTGCCCATTGCCCCCATTCATAATCCCTCCAGTGATTCAGAGCTCAGGATCAGGGACAGCTGGGGTGACAACTGGTAGGAGATGTCTTCACCTACCAACTGTGCTCTCTGCTCTTTTCCCCCTTGCCTCCTTCCTCCCCAGCCCCTCACCAGTTCTAGCAGCTGTGGCAGACGAAACCAAGTCTAGGGACAGTTCCTCCTGTCATCTCCTTGGCCTCCAGTAGAGGGGTGACACAAGCCAAGCTGTAATATCTTAGAGACCTCAGGATCTCCTATCCCTTAGTAAGAAGCTAGGTGGTCCACCAAAAAACGGCACATAATATAAAGCTGCAGAAACAGCCCTGGCCCTCAGTGTCCCTAGTTCTAGGATTGGCCCTACCTATAAATTGGCATGTGACCTTGAACTAATCCCTTCTCTCTGGATTTCCCTAGCTATAAAAGAGGGGATTATAGCAAAAGGTCTCCAGAGATCCCTTAGGTCCCTAAGTAGTACAGTGACCCACAAAGTGAGAAAATAGTCCTCTAAAACACCAAGCTTTTCAGCTGGGCACAGTGGCTCATGTCTGTAATCCCAGAGGCTCGGGAGGTTGAGGCAGGAAGATTGCAAGTTCAAAACCAGCCTCAGTAATGGTGAAGTGCTAAGCAACTCAGCAAGACCCTGGCTCTAAATAAAATACAAAAAAAGGCCTGAGGATGTGGCTCAGGGGTCAAGTGCTCCTGAATTCAATCCCCAGTACCAAAAAAAAAAAAAGAAAGTTATTCATAGAAAAATCAAATATAATCAATGTGAATATAATTAATAGTCAGTGCTATTCTCAGTAGAAATTTTCCCATAAGCAGTGGAATTAAAAAGACTAGTATTCTTCTCTATGTCCCAAAGAGAGTGTGTTAGAAATGGTTAACTATTGTGACATTACCCTCTTGGCGTGTTCTTTGTTTTTATTACTAGTAGGAAAGTACAATTCGTTTTCAGTGCCTCTCCTTCATGACAGTGGAAAGGGCTGTATCATGTAGCAAGACAGGGACAGTCGGCACTGGAATGACTCCCTTTGATTGACTTGTGTAGAGGCTAGAAATGAGGCCCTAGGAAGGCAGGACTGCTACCCAGAGCTGGCC